AGCTGGCTAAAGATGTGTGTACTTTCCTTAAGTGGGCTGCAGGTGAGAATTTATTTTCTACAGTACTGTATTAACGCGGTTAAATGCTGCTGTGTTTTTACTTCCAAATTATGTTTACTCCAAAATAATTTTTCCTTTATCACTGACAATGATTGCAATAGATCATGTGTTAGTATCATGTAAAAAAAAAAGACATGTCATCTATTCTAGTGTCTCACTTTTTAGCCAAGACAGATTTTAGTTGCCTGGCACCTTAGGTTTACTAATGGTGGTACAGATCACTTAGTTGTATCCAACTTGTCATTTTTGCCCTTTGAAAGGTACTAGGTAACATCATAATTATTTTTCTAATTCAGTGTGGAATTACTGGGTTTATTCTAAAGTTTGTTTCCATCTGCAGCATTTCATCACAGCTGGTGTGTATTCCAGAGCTACTCTATGATGAAATTGGGGTATTAGGAGTTACGGTCAGCAAATAGTTGTTAATGGCTTGATGTTATTGCGTTGTCTTTGTAGAACCTGAACATGATGACCGCAAAAGAATGGGAATGAAGGTATAATGCATATTCAAATCTTCAATCGTTATACTTAAACAACAAACCAAACCAGACATGTATTCTGCCTCACCAAAGTAGAAGGGTGAAGAATAATTTAAACATACATGTAGGTTGCGGTTTTAGTATTTTGTAAATTTTCCTTTAGTGCCACCATGGTATTCCATGTACATGCAGCTGTGTGTATATAGATCTATATAACGTGTTTTGAGCACTTAGCTGCAAAGTGCACATCACATTTTTCAATAAGTTTTTGTGATAAATTGGATGAGTTGACTTTTTCTTACTAAGTAACAAGATCTTCATGCCTGTTTTATTAAGCCTGTTGGATCCTTTGTTTTTCTTCACAATGCTTGGTGTGAACTCCATCGTCAATCTGAAGTAAAACCTTGTTTCTTGTGGAAGTTGTTGCCGCTTTAAAGAGAACAGTCTCCTGAAGCATTCTTTGAAAGACTATGTTCAAATCTGTGTACTTATTTACTTCTTCTCGTGTGTTTGTTTGTTTGTTTGTTTTTTCTAAGGCCATGACGATTCTCGGGTTCCTTACGTTTGCCTCATACTACTACAAGCGTCACAAGTGGTCAGTGTTAAAGAGCCGCAAGATCGTGTATCGTCCCTCACCCCACTCCTGAGGGGCTCAACAACTGAACAAATTTAAACAACTTTTTACGCAGATAATGTCAGCATCAGATGAAAAAAATAAGTGCAGGTACTATTTGATCTGTGCTTTAAGAGGGTGATAGCATCATTTAGGCCTTGCACACCTAATTAAGTGCAAATATTCTGTTGTGATATTGACCAAGGCTTACTGTAAAAAAATTCTGTTGATCAGAGTGCCTCCTTAAATTTCGTGAGTTATGGTGTTTGTTGCTGAGGTGTAGCTGCTTTTAGCTTACTCTCTGTGAATAGCCTCTATAAAAAGCTGTGAGGTAATCCAAATGATATTTTATTCCTTTTTGTTGTGATTTACTTCAATAAACACTAAATTGAAATGTTTTAAAATTACGTTGTTTCTGTGTTAAGGGGATATTATCATTGTAGTCCTTCTAAAACCCCCTCCCACGCCAGTGACAAAATATTATACGTACTTTTGATGAATCAGGTTAAATATTTTTAAACACCTGACATCAGAAAGCCAGAAGAGGCTCTTTGCAAAAGTGTGTGCGCAGATTTCGTGTAGCTTCACGAAGGAAAGCACGACTAAATCACCGAGCTAAATAGGCTATACCGTTTAAAACAAAATGAGGTTACGATATACAAACAATAACCTTTATCTGGCGCGAAAATATGCACGGATATTTGTCCGCGGACATTATCTGTTCCATTATGCGAACAGTTTACCGAGAGCGAAGCCCGAAGAAAACTGTGAACTTCGAGGAACAAATAGTGTCAAGGGAAAATGTACAGGCACACTTTCGCGCAAAATAGAGGCTATTGTGTTTAGTATCCTTAAAAGATTTTGCAACGCGCGTGAAAAATTGTTTACGAACTGTATGAAGCGTGAGATGATTTCTTTGGAGTACAAACTTTATAAACAATAAAATATCTCCCTTCTTCTGTAACCATCACGAAACGTTCTCTCGTCTTGAATTAAATCTTTAAAAGAAGATCTGTGGTAGTGGACGTGAGGTTTGAAAACTAGGGAATAGCACTTGGGTGTTATTCTCGGATATCGCCCAGTGTTCGGTCACGTGCTGCACTTAGACCAATCGCGCGCGAGCAATGGATTATTTTTAGCATAATTCGCAACACCGAAACAAAAACGATTTGATATTCTTCCTGGTTACTCAGTCCATCCAAGGTCTCCAGACCCCTCCATGATTTACTGGCTTGGATTTGAGATCGGGATCTGGGAATCTAACAGGCACCGCAGTAGTATTATACTTTTCTATCATACCGAGTAAATCGCGCACTACATCTGGAAACTGTTCTGAAATTTCTCTCTTCTCTTGGGGATCGCTCGTGATGTTAAAAAGAAACACGCTATTTGCGTTATGTTGGTTGCAGGAAGACTGGGTCTTGGAGCCGGATTCCGGCGCCGCAACCCAATCTCCGTTTCCTGGACAACCAAGTAAGAGTTTCCAATCCCCTCTTCTGAAAGCGGCGCTACGACAGTGAGAATATCCGTCTGGATTTCCCCAGAATGTATCTACAGGGTCAATATTATGTAAGATCTCGTTCCTCGGTGGCGTCAAGTTCTCGCTGATGCTCGCCCACTGATTTACCCCGTCCAGAGGAATGCCCTCAACCGTTACCTAAGCCAAGTGCAAAATGGTGGGAAACCAGTCAGACACGTGCACCAGTCCCTTATAAACTCTCCCCGGCTTTTGAATCAGATCACTGTTTACAAACCCGACGCCTCTTATGCCTCCTTCCCACAGCGAAGCTTTCCAACCGCGCAGCGGCCAGTTGTTTCCCCCCGCCGTGACTTGTCCTCCGTTATCGCTGCTAAAAATGAGCACAGTGTCTTCCCACAAACCGCGTTTCTTGAGCACTCGTGTCACGTTTCCAACCGCCTCATCCATGCAAGAAACCATGGCAGCGTACACGCGTCTATTCTGATCCTTAATGTTTTTGTACTGCTTCAAAAATCGTTCAGGTACCTGTAGCGGCGAGTGGGGAGCTTGGAATGATAAAAACAAAAAAAGTGGGTTTTGGGGGTCATGTTCTTGAATTATCCTTTCGGCTTCTCTGGCGAAGAGATTGGTGGTGTACTTCCCGACTACATCTCGTTCAAGCTTTTCATCCCGCCAAAAATCATAACCGTTGAGAAACTTGTAACCCGATGCAGGAAACCCGAGTCGATTCCGATGCGTGTAGTAATCTTGTCCACCGGTTAGAAAACCGTAAAACGAATCAAATCCCCTTCTTGTTGGTATAAACTTCTCACGATAGAACCCGAGGTGCCATTTTCCGACCACGTGGGTCCTGTAGCCACTGTCTTTCAATTTTTCTGCGATTGTAGTTTCGTTACTCGGCAGCGCGTTCGCCTGCGAGGGCCAAATGATTCCATGTTGCAGTCCAGTATGTATGTCGTATCGTCCCGTTAAAAGCTGCGCTCTCGTTGGAGTACAAATAGGTTGAACGTAATAGTTATCCAGTCGAACCCCGGTGCGAGCCAACTCGTCCAAAATTTTGGTTTTGAATTTTGAGTTGTGGTAGCCAATGTCATTAAATCCCAGATCGTCAGCTAAGATGAATACAATGTGCGGCTTTTTACCATGGTTGAGGAATGCTAAACTAGTCTTGATCAAAATGAAAAGAAGGAATCCAGTTCTGATTAACCTTAGATGTAAAAACATGGCCATCCCCTCAAACGCTTTTCTTTCTCTCTTAGCAGTTATTCAATATCTTTAAACTTAAGTGTGCGGCGTCAAACAAAGCCCTTAAACAATTAGGAACCTGTTCAGTTCAGACTTTTTTTTTATCTATTTCGGGTAAAAACCCGATCATCCAAGACATTTTTATTCACTCTTAGCTTGCGAAATCGAGACCAGATCACTCCTTCGAAGAACGAAACATTGGAAAGATGGAATAAAAATGACTTAAAGTAGCTTGCATTTTGATCTCGAAGTTACGGGTCTTCACCATTCACACAGCGACAGGTCTTTATTTTTCTGGTAACCCTTGACTGACGTAAAGGTGCTATGTACACCTGATTGCCTTAACTTCAGTCGTCATAAAAAAAAAATAAATTAAAAAAAAAAAAAGCGAAAAGGAAAACGACCCTGAACGCTGTGGTTTACGCAACGTTCATAAATATATTGTTTCGTCTTCCCTCACTCACCTTCCCCTCAGGATAAGAAGAAGACAAGACGTGGAGTTTATTCAAGATTGTCGACATTAAAAATGGTCTGTTAAGTTGATTCACTACATTGAGCCTATCTTTAAACCTTTTTGGCATATTTCTATGTATGGCCTGCATACGAGGACTGGTCCTAGTGTCATTTCACCGGGTTGCAGTGTTAGCAAAGTTGAGGACTAACCCTGAAAAGCTTTGATTTCCTTCGAAAGCAATTAATGAAATCAGATATCAAAATCCATTAGTTCGAGGGCCTAAGGTAAGTAAACGTAGACTTCGTTAACTGATCGCCCCCAAATCTCCAATTCGTCATGGAGACAGCCTTTGAAGGACCTGAAGTATCTTGCTTTCGCTTTTTTTACCATCTTCGTTTTATGTCCATATTCACATTACTTATGGAAAAAGCTTCCTATAAAACTCAAGTCAAATTTCTGCAATGTAATCGCATTTCCTTAGGAACTACACCATTTCTAGAGATTTCTCCTCTGTCCCAAGCTAAAAAAAAAACTGACTTAAATCGTTCTTTTCTTCAAGCACTTTGCCTCTCTTGTGGATCAGATTTAATTCAAATTTTGACGGCTACAAATATCTCGTATACCGCTAGAGGCTATAGGTCACACTCATTTCACAGAGGAACAGATTAGTTGCTGACATTTTGAAGTGATTTTATTTCTAAAAAGACATACAGCGAATAAACTTTACGAGGTAATTACAGAGAGAAATTGCAGAAAAAGAAAGTGAAATAAAACTTAGTCATTCTTCTTGACGTCGCGACTTGCACTGTCACTTAATTTATAAATATATAAAACTAAACCTGAAAAAGAAAACGTAATGCCCGGTAAGTTGATACAAACCAAATTTCTCAAGAACAAATGGGTGCAAGGAGTAAGTTAAATAAACATCCTTAGAAGCAAAATGAACCCTTAGCTACAATCAGCCACAAAATTGATTGACACAGCATGTTTGAAGAGTTCTATTTATGGGTAGAATAACACTCCCTGTTTCTACCACACTCTAAATCATTGATAAGACCCCCCTTTCCAATTCAAAGTTGGCTAAACTGAAGTTCACTGAATCACGATTCAATATCTTTTTTTTAGGGGGGGGGGAAGGGGGCAAATAGGTTAACTTAAGGAGGGTAAAAGAGATAAAACTTAAGTAATAGAGGGTTGAAAAGAGCTATGCATCAACAGTTTTTTTGCTGATTGTGGGTATCAGCTGTCTACTGAGTGTTTATAAACCCTTCACATCTGTTGATCCAATTTGTAATTCTCCTTTCTAGCTGCTATAAGTTTCAATGTAAATCAGTTGAGAATTGGGTGCTTTAGCAAGGACGCAGCCTCTCACTGATAACATTACATACTCTCATAACCTGATTGCTGAATATTGCATCCAAATTGAGGGGAGAGGTTACAAGTTGACAGTTTCTCAGAATTATAAACACTAAGGGCTGGTTCTACAGCCCTTCTTGCTAAGGATGAGGTTGAGGACTAACAGAACTCCTTACAATAAAATGTATTTCTCCTGCTAGTGATTTTTCACCTCTGTTATTAATTTTGATTCCACCTATTCATAGTTAATAGTTGTCTTAAATCAAATACAGGTAAAAAGTCACATGACACTTCAGGCCACTCACCTACTAAGCGCTTGCGGAAGACTGGCTATGACTGGACCATAACCAGGAGAGTTATCATACAGTTCAAACAATGGTGCTGCCACTAACTTGTAGTTACGAGGCACAGCAAAGTTAGCTGAAAAAAAATTGAAGGGCTTTGAATTGATTTAAAGTACCTTTATTGAGAAAGAAAACAATTTGATTTTCCAGATTTCCTATGACTGCTGTGAACCTTCCACTTAGATTCATACGGAGAGTTTGCACTTTTGTGAAAACTAATTCAATTCAAGTCTACCTTTTTCTCCAAGTTGAACTAGAAAGAGTTTTCTTTGTTCTTTTGGCTTTGTTATATGAGCAGGAATATATGGATACTGCAGAGAAAAAAAAAATGAACATTTAAGATTATCACTTGAGTACAATACCATCAAATATTCCTTTCCAGAAATACTGAACTACATGTAGATAGAGAGGGAGTGACATGTCAAAAGACTCCTCAATTTGGGAAAAAAGAGTATTATTGTGCATGTGTACCAAATCAAATGAAGATTATTAATTTACAAAGAAAGGTGAGCAATGATTCTCCTACATTGAGTGAATTACCTGAGGTGCTTCAAAGTTTGGTCTCCACCAGTTTCCTAAGGTGTCTTCCACAACCCAGTCTACCTCGATTCCTTGTTCAGGGCGGCCTAAGATCTGAAGAACAGGAAAATATTAAGATATACACTGTAAAAGAAATCTTTTACAGCATTAAAAATTCTTGTAAATTGATGGTAATATCAAACAATAATTATAAAATTATGTGACTTGAAACATAGTACAAGAAATTGCCAAAAAAATAGAAAATAAAAACAGCACAGAGAAGCAGACCTTGAAGCAACATGATTATGCAAGGGGTCTGCAGGTGTTTTAGCAAATTCCTTACAGATGTCTTGCCACTCACCTTGCCCCTTATCATGAATCCAGTAGGCTTTGTTACTAATGAGAGCAAGTTTGAAGGCTGTTCAAAGACCTGCTTCTCTTTGCAAATGGTGCAAAATTTATTGTGTATTTTTGCAATGAAAGAATGGCATTTCACTGCAATTTTTTAACCAAAAGCATTGCAGTCACAAACAATCATTAATAGTAATCAGTCTAAAATAATTCTTTTTTACCTCAGTCATTGATCTTTTAAGTCCATCAATTTCATCTTCCCCAGCAACAAGTTCCCCTCCAGGTCTGATAAAGTATCAATTACAGTTTATTTATTCAAAAGTAGACTATTTAACACATTGTACATCATTTCAATTGTACTTTCAGTTAAAAATGTATAACTGCATTTTGTGCTTGCCATATAAACCACCAACATTAAACAAGAAAGTAGTAGGTGACTTACAATTTGAAGAATGTCGTTCCTAACTGTAAAAGAAGCACATGTGGCAATCCATGTTCATGAACAATCAGTACACCTTCAACAGTCTTCCTCATTCCAAATTTTTCATATTCCTCCCTTGATATTAAAAGAAAATGAAGCCATAAATATAATACTTGGTATCGAAAAAGTACACAATTACACTAGCTATTATTGTATTGTAACCCTGAATATGTAGACTGATTTTTTCTTACCTCATTCGAGTAAATCTGGCTTGAACAGAGCTGCAAAATTTAAAATTAAAATCAAGTTTGGGAAAATATCATGGATTAACTTCTGAAAAAGTTTGCAGGTCTACATAATGTTCATGGAAGAATGACAGGGAGCTACATGACAAGAGAGCTATATACATGTATGTGTGAAAGAACATTCAAACTTTTCTACTAGTTCCTTGTGGGGTGCACTGGTGTTATAGTTTAATTTCAGTTAGGGTTTAAAATTTTTCAACCAGATGGTTTTAAGGCTCTTTTTTTTACTTATTTGCATTTATCATGATAATCTAACACAAAAGGAAACTCAAATCAAACTGGTTAGAAAATGTTTAGACCAAGGAAAATTTGAACCTCCAGACTAGATCATATTTATTACCTGTCCTTTTCATACAACGCTTCTTTGGTTCCGAAAGTGTAATTCGTCAATGGATACCTGAAAAAATTAATACATAGATGTAACAGACATATAGCTAACGACAGGAACATAAACTGTATATAATCTTTCAAACTTTAAGTCTAATTACCCGCTGTGAAACTGACGTTGACAGAGGTCGGTACGGTGCACGTATCTGACATATTTTTAAAAAGAATCAAATCAGCTGCACTGTATATGATAAATATACTGCTCGGTCACCCCGACTATCGATCATGTTCAGTGTTAATCTTATTTGCTTTTAGAACGGAGAGGCCTTGTTCCCTCCATTAATCTTTCTTATTTTCGGTAGGTAAGGTACGCTCTGCTTGCTGGCATGGAAACACGACTACATAATTTGAAGTTGTTGTTACTGTCAATAATAGGTGTGTTATAAAAATAACCAACACAAAAATCAAATATATGACCTATTTAAAATCTTACAGTCGTACGGTCCGTTCCCCTGGTATTCCCTGCGGCCCCGTCATGTATTTGCCAGCATTACTAGCCGCCCGACTCCTCGGCCAACCTCGTGCGTTCGCGTTGGCCGCCATATTTATTTTCTTTCGACCCCAGACTTCTTGCGAACATTCACATACTTCCCTATCACCAAACACTTCAAGTAAATTACATGAACTATTCGCCTAAAACACTTTCACGATGGCAGCAACCTCACGAATTATTTGGGCGAGCCTTGGTCGACCTTTTGCTACCTCAAGGAGTAACTTTTCGTTAATGTGCAAAAAATGCCACTGGAAATTACGACCAATGAGTTCACAGGCCATGGTACACGTTGGAAGAAAACGACTGTTCCAGAGAAAATGGCTTTGGCTCTTATTTGGTAGCGGTGCATCTTTACTAGCGATGAACGTTTACCATAACAGACTGTGGGAGGCCAGACAGCGTAGAAGACTGCGAGTTTCACTAGAAGGGGTAGGAAGATTCTTCAGGTAAGAAAAATAATTCCCAAGATTTAGTCAAGTAAGGAATTGAAGGCTTGTATAGGCCTGACTGAATTTAACAGTTTAGGGAGAGGGGGAGGCGACTTTCTATTTTTTAATCCCAAACCCTACCCCGCCTCCTCCCATTAAAACGATTGAAAACCGAACTTCTGAATTTTTTTGTCAGCTTTGAGAGATAAATCCAAAAATTTTTTTCTTTGTCCTCACCCTACTATAAGGGTCATAATTTTATTTTAATGTTGAGTTCTTTGAAGAAAAATATTGAACCCCTCTAGGAAAAATGCCCCATCTCTTTGACAAGATGTCTCCAGATGGGTTAGAAAAGGACATAATCAGTCTATAGAATGGCTCCTGCTTATTTTCCCATGTTCTAGTAGACAATGACTGGAACTCTTTTAAATCCTTTAACCCCTAAGGATGAACAGCTTCTAATTCTCCTTACAATTTCCCCCCAGAATCACACATTAAGGTCATGAGAATAAAGAAAATAATCACAAACTAAAGAAGCTCTTGATTGTTAAACAAATTCTCCTTGTCAGCACCTTAGGATATGTATAGAGAACAGTATGAAGATAATTGATTTTGATGTTAGGGTGTAAAAGTTTAATATAACAGAAGAAGCCTGAAAAAGGTTAAGAATCTCTGCAGGATTAGAACCTGTGATCTTTTGACCCTTATCAACTTTGGTATGATGCTATTGACACAGAAATCATTCTGACTGAGTGAGGACAAACACCTCAAAGAAACTCAGTTATACTTTACAGTATGCATGTGTGTAGGTCTGCAGAATACTTTGATAGTAAATTAGAATCATGCATCTCTTATGTTGATCTACTTTTCTTTTTACTGATTAGGTGTTTTTATGTTGGAATGAAAATATCATTAGATTACTGGTGGACCCTGCACAACTTAGATCCTGTGAGTAGTACATTCTACCTTGTGAATTTTGTCTCATCTTAACTTCTCTTTCAAAACTGTTGGAACTTAAAAGGTAATTAAATCCTTTCTGAATAATTTTGCTTTAAATTGCTCCAGAAGCACATAATCTATGCTTCTTATTACACAAATTAACATGTTTTATCTAAATGTTGATAAGGAAGGAGAGGAATATGCCCAAGCCATTAAAGGATGTCACCAGAGAGCAGCAGACAGGATTGTGGTTGGTGCAATTGAAAATGGAGGGATTTATGTCAAGTTAGGACAAGGTCTTGCTTGCTTAAACCATATCTTGCCACGGGAGTATACAGAAACTCTACCAGTATTACAAGATAAGGTATAAGGAGAGAAACTCTGACAAACCTTCTTCAAGATATCAACACACAGAAATCCAGAATACTAATTCTTAATGACTATTCCATTTGTTAATTTTTCTTTTTCTTTTTTGGCCATCTCTCTGTTCACCTCTATCAAAGTAATTTTTTTACATTTTCTTTATGGAAGTTTCCAAATCTATTATCTGGGATGTGCTCTTCTTATCAGGAAGTGTGGTATCATTTCCTACATTAACTTTTTCACAACCAGGAGTAATTGATGAATGATGCCCCCTTTTCAATGCAAATACATGAACTTTCCAAGCAGACAGATGATTAGATTAAAGAAAAATGTCAATTATTTGACATGTGACTTATGATTAAATTCTTAAAACTTGCATTACAAGAAATGTACAGCAGAGAATAATGAGAGTAGATATTAAGATCATTATAAGATGGCCATTAAAAAGGAAGGACATAGGTTAATTCTTTCTTTGATACAATTTTGTTACTCTTTTGTAGGCCCTTCGAAGGAAACATGGTGAGGTTAGTTATTCAAAATTGTTCTTATTACAAAAGACTGTCAAACCTCTATTAGCACTTGTGCTGAAACTTTGGTTCCCATGCCATTGTTCTTTTCCAAAGTGAGCCTTAGCGGTTGACTCTAATTTAATGAGTGACATGGCAAAAAGGTGATCTGGAACATGAAATTCATTATGCAGTTATTAATACTACATTTAATTCTCTCGATACTGAATAACTGTTGAAAATTTCTACTTAGGTAGATGAGTTATTTCTTGAGGACTTTGGCAAGAAAGCTGATGATTTATTTCTGAAGTTTGATCACAACCCCATAGCTGCCGCAAGTCTGGCACAGGTGCACAGAGCTGTTACACATGATGGGAGAGAGGTGGCTGTGAAGGTAGGCGATAATTATTGTTATTACCACCTGACTGGCCACTCTGTTTGGTGTGCTTTGGTTATTTTGTGCATATTAGAAATTTTCTAATTGAGTTTTGAAAGTAATCCGGAATTGTGATTGGTTGAAAAAAGAATCATGCCCCTCTAGCAACCAATTGGATGCAAAACTAGTTGTAATAGCTGCTTAATTGATCACATTTTCTTGAGCTTGAGCCTGACAGCCAGTATGTTTACTTACTGCCTTGTTTTGTGCATGTTATTCATAGGGGTGTCCAGCCATGCCTTTTCAATTATGATTTTTATGTCTGATAGATTCAATACATTGACCTTCTGGACAGATATGATGGAGATCTGTGGACATTAAAACGCTTACTTCAAGTGATTGCGTGGATGCATCCTTCTTTTGAGTTTGCTTGGGTTTTAGACGTAAGTTCTGAGGGTGATAGAAAACAAAACCTGGTTAAATAGGTCGTGATTAATTTCCAATTCTCCTTATTTATTCATTGCGTCAAAAGAGGGTTCATACCAAAAAAGCAATACTGCTTGAATAGTTGATTCATTTGTTGAAAGATATTTTCGTCTTGTTACGAGCAAGAGACAAAGAAGAAGTCTAAGTTCTCATGAGGAAACGAACCACAGGCCTTCGGGTTCCATGCTTTGGTGCTTTAGCACAGATTTAAAGAGAACTCGATGGCAAGTCCTGATGACCCAATGCTGTGAAACCTTATTGAACTTGGTGATGATAGTTTCCTATTTAACAACATGCAGGACATTCAGGCGACTTTAAGGCAGGAGCTTGATTTTGTACACGAAGGTCACAATGGGGAAAGATGCGCAGATGAACTGAAGCATCTCAGCTATGTTTATGTACCTAAAATACACTGGGATCTTACTACCAAGGTAAGAGTCGTCTACCAGTCGTTACTGAGTTGGATAAACAAACAATTTAGGCCTTCAACAACACTCGGTGATCGAATGTTCACTTCCGGCTAGGAATGTACGTTTTCAACAGTTTGGTGGTGGGGAGGGGGGTGTTTCTAAAAGTTCACTCGAAACGGTTGTTGCACCCTCTTTCCAGTTGCCGTAAGTTCTGCTGTATTTGCGACTTAGTGGTAACATTTTGGTCAGGCCATGTGCTTGATTACTATAAAGGGTTACTCAATCTATCTACCTTTGTTACTATTTGAGAGAAACGTGAAATTTATGTAAATAACGGAAGTAGATCTTTTGATGGGATTAACGAGGCTAATCAGTTTTGATAAAATGGTTGTCAGCACCAAGGGTAGCTGATTCTTGGACTGGTTCCTTTGACATGCAGTCCGGTCTACGTGTCGAGTCAGGTAAAGAATTGCACTGTTGTGCGGAGGTTGAGAGTACAAGGCTTAAATAGTCAAGGAACATGTGTTGCCCTGAAAATACTTCGACGTTCTAGTTTTTCGGATGAGGACAAAAAACCGAAAACCTCGTCTCCCGCATCTTCACTTCTATGGTCAGCAGGAAACGTGAAAGGGTCACTCCACGCGGAGATTAGAGCAACAAGCTACGATTTTGCCATCCGGGTTTCAGGAACAACACTGTAAACTGTTGTAAGAAATACGTTCTTGCCATCTCAGAATCCTTGTGATTGTCTTTCAGCGTGTGTTGACCGCAGAGTACATGGATGCTTGTAAGGTGGATGACGTTGAAGATCTTAGACGGAGAGGACTGGACGTGGCTGATGTAAGTTTGCAATACTATATACCTAGTCACAAACTACAGGTTGAAAAGTTTTGAGAAAAATATCGCAAAGGCTCAAGGCCGTTTTAACGGACTTTGGAGAAGAAAGGTGAATCCTGTTCATCTTAACTCTTGGGCCTTGAGAGTTCAGTCTGTCCCAATACCAAGAACATTTGCTTGGAAATTGATCAATTTGGAGTTTGAGAATTTCATTGTGTCTTTTGTGATAGATAGATGAAAAACTGTTTTTTTGTCTTATTCACGATCCTAAGGTTGACGAGAAAATGATCAAAGCGTTTGGCGAGCAGTTGTTTCATAGCGGTTTTATTCACGGCGATCCTCATCCCGCAAATGGTAAGTTATTTTACTGTACATGATAAGGAATAAAGTTAAGTGATACTAGTCCACTTATATCGTGGGCTTATTCCTGTCGAAGTTTTTCTCTATCATAAAGTAACGTGGGGTATCGCTGGTATTATTCCTGGACGGGATGATAGTTTCCGCTCGTAAGAAGAGAGAGGCACTGTTGAGAGCAAAGTGTGTTGCCTTAGAACTCAACAAAATTGGCCGGTCAGGGCACACAATCGACCCTTTTCACATAACATTTGGGACACTTTCCTAGGGTGAGCTCATTTATTCTTATTTCCCAGGTCTTCACCCTGGATGTCAGTCCCCTTTCCCTGGAAAGCATACGTAGCCCAAAGCTAAATTAACGCTGTTTGATCCACTGTAAACGAATGGGCCACCCAGCAAAGAAAGCAGCAAAGAAAGCAGCAAAGAAAGCAGCAAAGAAAACCTGTTCGATCGGAATATATCAAAGGCTCTAGTCCTCGATGAAAACTCACAATCCTATTGGTTTTCTGTAGCTTGGTCCGATATTGATCCAACCCTTTGATCTCTAAGAGTGACTAACATCTAATTTCTCCTTACAATATCACCCCTGAATGAAACTTTAAGGTTATGAGGAAAAAGGAAATCATCATCAAACGTAGAAGCTCGTGATTGTTGGACAAATTCTCTCCGTCAGCACCTCAGGAAATGTATAGGGACCAGTATGGAGAAAGCGCATACTGATTCCTGTTCTCTTTTCTGTTGAAGTTCTCGTTAGGAAAGGCAAAGATGGGAAAGCTGAAATAGTCATCATTGACCACGGGCTTTACGAAACTCTCCAGCAAAAGTAAGCAATTATCTTTTTGTTTGGTGTTTGTTGGAAAGGACTGTAGCTTGAAGACAATCTGTCTTTTTTCCAGCAGAAAGCAAATGAGGTGCGTTAGGGCAGGGAAAGGTGAAAGAGCCTCTAGGATAATTCTCACTTACTGATACCAGTCAATTGAAAGATGCTATTGTGCACCGAAACCCCCCTTTCACACTGTTAGCAGTAGATGCCGTGTGAGTGCCCTGTGTCTTGCACAGAAAAGTTGGCCAAGAGCTATTTATAGTAATTCTCAATGCCGACCGTTAAGCTAATGGCATAAATAGGCCAGAAAAAAAAAAAAAAAAAACGCGCAGAAAAACCAATTCGGCCCTCAGCTATTAGCTCAATACGTTTATGCATAGATCTCTTAATTTATCATAATACGTTTTAGAATATGACTTTGTTTTCAAATTTTTCCTCAGAGACAGGATAGCCTTGTGTCAACTGTGGAAGTCCATCATACTCAATGACCAGAAGAAGATGCAATATTTTAGTAAACAACTCGGAGTTGATGGTAAATTCACACGTCAGATTTTGGTCTCCAAAAACGTGATGTGTATAAAGTGGTACAGGATTTTATCTTCTTCTAAATAAAAACTCGGCTGTAGCTTTTACCTTTTATTGTGTAAATTTATGCATCAACTGTTCCTTTATTCTTTCTATGAAAAAGAGAGTATTTTGTGTTAGCCTTGGTAGTAATGAAGGATATGATTTATCCAAAACAAATGCCACAGAATTTAATCTCGTCATATCAATTATTTTCAAAACCTGTCATTGCTAGTTATATCACGCTCTGCATTATGCGCAGTTTTTTTTTGAGTCAGGTCGAGATAACTCCAAAAGGAAAAGCCAGTGTAAACAATAAGCACGTAACTTATGATTTTTTGTTCTTCAATTTAATTAGGAAGCAATTATCACCCTTAATCAGGCGGAATACGGCCTGACGTTGGTTGAGTATCACGCGATGCCTCGTATGATTTCACTGGATGATTGTTTTAATAATACGAGCATGTAGCAGAATGTAAAGAAACCCGTTAGGGTCAACCTTACGAGTAACAAGATGAGGTTAAATCTTGATAGGGTTTACCTTATCAAAAGTAAGTTAAAAAAGTAGGTATTATGAGACTTGTTTTCGTTTTAAATGTCGTTTTATCTTCCAGATTTCGAGAATTTTTGTCAGATTCTTCTTCAACGTCCGTTCGCGTGGGGAAGCGCTGGAATGCTGTTTACTTCAAGAGTAACAGAAGAGGATTTGACAATCATGACAAAACTCGCTCAAGGACACTTCGAGAAAGTGATAATCATTCTTAAACAGCTTCCACGGAGCATGCTGCTTGTGTTCAGGTGTGGATAGTGTTATTTCACTTCGAAATAGTTTATTCTTGCCGCAGATTTTTTTTGCACGTTTTCCTGTTAAGTGGCACCATTCTTTAGCATTCTTTAGCCAAGTTCACCTATTTTTAATTTTCTTTGTTGACTTTTTTATGTATTTTTACCGTAGCAAACTGTCATAACTTGTAGATTTCCTTCAATTTAACAGCCCGAAAAGCAAATCCTAAAACTGTTGCGCAGCTTGTAGAGTCGTGGACGTTGAACAGAGGAAAATACTCGGAGCCCTAGATTAGGATCGAAGCCCCACCCCCTCCTCCCTCCTCCCTTTCAACAACCGATGGGATGCTTTAGAGATTCGAGCTTTTTCCACTAGAACTACATTCTATATCCTTTCCTTTCCTCTCCTCCCTCCCCTCTCCCCCAGCCTACCGCAGATGAAAAATTGCTTCGTGTTCAACCTTGTACTATCTCATTTTTTTTTTAGGAACTTAAACACAGTTCGACACATTAATCAGGAACTAGGAGAGCCAGTGGATAGATTTGTTCTCATGGCCAGATGGTTTGTGAAAAAATATTTGTATTCCGTGGTCTTCCTTCTGTTTAGTTTTACTTTTTTCACGGTTTTTGATTGTTTTTATCGAAATAGTTCGAAGGCGAGAAAAGAGGTTTTCAGTATAAATATAGGTCCAGTTTTGGAAAATTTCAAAAGTTTCCACGGTAGCGACTGGTTTAGACGTCAATTTTTTTACCTTTTCTTGCAGTGCCATCGCGGGAATTCACGGCCATATAAAGCATAGTAGTCTATGGTCGAAGATGAAGACAATCTTTGAATCATACGTCCTCGATGTGAAAATAAGGTAATTATGTTTTCCAAATAAGTGGGAAGTTCTTCCCAGTGCTACCGCTTGAGATAAGTTTTCTTGTCGTTCTCATCATATATTCCATGTAGAATTTTTATGGTTCGCAGAACGAGTTATCATCGCATAGTGAGGCCGCCAGTTCCAACGACGTTTCTACCTTCCCTGCCCTTAAAGTGTTCTGACTTCCGGTTCTCTGTTACGACTCTACTTCCGATTATTTTACATCCAGTCATTGGATGATACTGCTACATCACATCCGACCATACGTTTTACGACTGGAATTTCATAGTTATTAAACAAACACAAACACAAGAACCAGCTAGTAGGCTAAACGGACGGCGGTAAGAGGTTTTATATGCGGAGAGACACCGCCGGTAATCGGCTTTCATGCAATCCGCGCTGACCCTTAAGAATGACGACCATTTAGTTTCTCCTGACATTATTGCCCCTGAATCAAACATTAAGGTCATGAAAAGAAAGTAAATGACCACGAACTCAAGAAGCTCTTGATTGTTAAACAAATTCTCCCTGTCATCACCTTAGGAAATGTATAGAGAGCAGTATGGAGAATATGCATCCTGATGTTTGGGTGTAAAGGGTAAAACAAAGGTGAATCATTTGAGCCCGTTACTAACAAATTTCTTGTTGCCCCTAGAGCCATGAGTTTCAGAGCGTGGATGGTGGAAACCTACCTGCAGATTCTTCAGTACCTGGGGCGTGCACCCAAAGATATGGACAAACTCACGTCTAAATTAAAAACCTTACACGAGTTGGACGCCATAGCCGCAGAACGAGCCAAAAGAACGGTCTCGGTTTCTTGATTTCGTTCCCCATCACATTCAAATTGTGAAAAATCGAAAACTTTTTATGTATCAAAGATTTTAATCATTTATAAGTAAATAATGCTGTTATGATCCCTCTTTTAGCCTGCTAACCAATGACTACAAGTGATCCAATACGCCACTTTTGATACATCAAGATTCTAACATGGCTCTAAGGCAAGGGGGAATAAAACGAAAGAAATCTCACCTACTTATCCTTACATTTGGTATTTCTACAAACTCAGTTTGTAACATAATCACCTGATGAGCCCTATCTAAAAAATGAACCTTGGGGGTGACAGGGTGTTCTTATTATTAAAAGTGCAATATGTTTATCAATAAAAGTGCAAGGTATTTACTTCAAGAAAAGCTTAGAAAATACAAATTAAAGCAATATATGAAGCATTTAGAATCATCAACATTACGTCACCGCATTCCAGTGCACACTAAAACTTGAAATGTTTGTCTTTCTGATAGCGTTATTTAGAGCTGGTCAAAGTAGTTGTTTGGGGATTCGTTATAGAAATCAAAGGGAACTAGAACTGAATTAGCCACTGGGTTTACTCTTCTGATATTGACTTTGAAAGAATGAAGGCTGTGTGATCGCTTTGTGTTCCGTTAAGTGAAAATACGAGTCAAAAATTTAAACAATCAAAACTTTTATAACCGAGATAGGAAGAATATAGGATGGCCATGATGATACAAGCCATTGAGATTCGAGGGTAACTCTTGTGAATTCCTCAGACCCACCTAAACATTTTATGGAGACTGGGTCTTTTCAGCCGCTGCTACCGGGCTATGAAATGTCTCACCCATAAACCTTAAATTGAGTTCATTAGTTTCTGTTTTTCGAGAAAAGATTAAAGACATATTTTTTTCAGAGCTACTTATGATTAACTGTCAATTTCCAACTATGATAAGGAGCTTTTTGTATGTACCGCCAAATAGATTAAGTCATCATTATTATTATTATTATTTTTATTTTTATTATTATTATCTTTATTGGTTAACTGGCCGATTCCACAGAACCAATTATTCCTATTTTGAAAAGCGCAGAAAGAAGGAAGAAAAACCCTGAACAACGTTTCGCTAAGCTCTAATTTAAGAGTGATTGTGTAATGCTGAATATATTTGATCGAGACACTCGTTTTTTTGTTAAGTTGGTACTGTTTGATTGTTTTGCCATAAACGTGACAGTTCAGAAATCGACTGGTCTTATTTTCATCTCGGTTCTCTTGAGGGAGTATTTATAACTCTTCCAGTGAAACCAGTTCACTCCATTAGCATAGGTGGAGTGGTTGCCACGAAGATACAAGCCATTGAGATTTGAGTGATGACACCCCTTGTACCACCAGGCTCCTTTGAACTTAATGGCGCAGTTGTGACCCCCATAATTGTCATTATCTTGATCTCTGGTGGTGAATGGCATACTGCGATGGTAAGCAAGAGAGTCACCAGAATTTCCTGACAAAATGAGCAGCAGGATGAGTATTACGTTTGACCAACAATGAGCTCGTCGTATAGTAGAACAAATCTTGAATTGTCAGATAAGTATAAATTAACAATGATAATATGGATGAAAAGCATTCTTAGTAATATCTATGATTCATGTCGAAGATTCTAGGGGTTGTATTACTGAATATGATAATGCAAATAAATATGTTTGTCGAGACACCCATCAGAGTTGGATTAGTTCGTCAGGTTAACCGCGTATAATCCACCGGCGAATACCTTTGGACTAACCAACGTCCCGTATGTGCTGTCCAGGATTGCATATCGATGAGCTGAGGTTACCTTTTTGTCTTCCAAAGCTATTGAATAATATTAAATAGTTTAAGCATATTTACATTACTTAGCACTCTCCTCTCCTCCCCTCCCCTCCCCTCCCCTCCCCCTTCTTATAATGACTAGAATAGAAGAGACAGAATGACAGTTCTACCTGAATAAGAACCAAGGATCAGCTTATACTTGTCTTTCTCACTCATAACACCAAACAACCTATACTCAGCATAAGCTGTGTTTCCTTCAAAGTCTTCCAAGTCTACACGCAGCACGTTGTTATCATCTGAGGTCAGGCGGTGAATCTTGTCCAGTCCGAGCCAAAATTCACCACGCAGGTCACCAAAACCACATTTGTAGTCGCTCCAGTAGCGGTAGAAATCAACCGAACCGTTCAGTCTTTTCTGGATCACAGTCCACCCTCCACCGGCTGTCGTTTGGTCACAGAATACATCAAAGGCAGGCAAGGTATCAGGTTTAATGGTGTACACACCGTAAGTTGAATTATCCGGGGATTTGTAGATATCTGCGCAGTTTCTTTTGACTGAAAATCGGTAATAACAAAAAAAAATAAAGCAAAACAAAATGTTCACTTTAGATTGTTTGGATATTAACTATTTTTTGCTTCCTTTCCTGTCTATTTCTATGTCTGATAAAACTTGTGTCTGAACATTAACAAGTACCATTTCTTTTTCCTCAATATCTACCAGCTTTATCACAATAAGAGACTTTTCCTTCCTAGCTTTACTTCAGTAGTTAATATCTTGTTCTTAAAGTCAAGTTTGGGACTTTCAGTGGTGAGTAACTCCTCGCGTACTACACGAGAGCCTGGCCCACACAATCTTAGCCATTTCACCTTCAATTTGGCAGGTTTCTCCAGTGAATCTTTCCCGACAGACACAACGAAATCCTTTATTGGTAAACCCTGCTTGACAGGTGCCATTGTTTAAGCATGGGCTGCTGCTGCATGGATTCTGTTGACAAAACAAAGTAAACTTGTGTGCAGATCTTCCCTATGCCAAGAATCACTTTACCCTAAGAAAATGGTACAATATCTTCTACCACCGTAGTTTTGTAAGAATGTTAAATGTTACCTCAATTGCAAGATATGTGTAACCCGGATTTTTCACGAGAAGAAATGGAGCATGGTTTTCCTCTGTGGCGTTATTCAACTCGCATTTTTGGTTTCCTCCTGCAACAGGTCCAATATTGATGGACACACAATTAGGCTCCATATAACACATTACTCTGCAACTTCCTTCGTTGGGCACCTCCACACTTTTGATGGCGTGATTTTTCATGGCCATGTTCGGCATTGGATCCTTGAATATGATGTTTCGATAGTCGTCGTCTGTGGTAGGCAAACAAATATATCGTTTAGTTTCCCCTCACTCATGGTAATTTTTTTATTTTCATTGATGAAAAATGCACATAAAACAACTTTATTTTAAAAATTTACTGCACGAGAACCCTGACGAATTTTCCCGAAAGGTGATTCTCATCTCTTAAAAATTCAACTTAACAGGGAGGCTTTCATCACAAAAATCAATCTTTGATTATGAATTAATGATCAGAAAGAAAATATTAAAAATAATCAGTATCAAGAATATTTTCACAGCGTTCATTACCACACCACGATATCTGTGAATCGTTTGTTTCAATTCATCATTTTGAGACATTGATGCACAGTTGATGGGGTCTTTTTGAAATTTGACTTTGTTAGTGTCTTCTATTTCATAATAGAAGACATTTTGAGTTAGATAAAGATTGTCTTCTTAAAGATAATTCATTTTGATCAGCAGGTAGCAAATGTACTTGGTGTGATGGTTTTGAGGAAACGACGCCAGAAGATAAAACGCAAGAAATTTAAAAAGGGATTTATACTCACCAGTGCAACAGAAGCATGATGGGAGAATAATTCCTCGGAAGATATAGAGAGTACTAAGCATCGGTTGAAGAGAAAACTTGAACTGCATCGCTATAAATAAATAATTGTAAATTCGAGGTAAAAGAGGACAGATACCTCGTTCAGTTATATCATTGTTCTAAAACACGTTGTTATGCTAACAGGCCTGTGTCATCCCTTGCACAAAGAAAATGACTTAGTAGGAATTTCTTCATATTAAATATTCATTCTCGAAGGTGAGTTAACTGCTGCAAAAGCCGCAAAAAGAGGAAGATATAATAGACCGGTGTAACGCAATTTGTCTGCATTGGTGTATTTTTTGTAAATTCTTACTCTACCGTGTAAATTTCATCTTATTCTGATAAGCTATAATATTTTCAAAAGTACCAGAGAAGAACAAAATAGAGCACATCACACTTATCAGAAGTGACAGGAGTTTATCAATATGTTTATTTTCAGCTTGTTTAACTTTGAACTTGCGGCAATTACGTTAAGACCAAGAAACAAATTCTTGCAGACTTGCTACCGGCAAGGGTGTTAGGTCACTTCTGAATTACAAACTTTGAACAATTTATCCTTTTTTATCTCAAAAAATTCTCCAATACGATAAAACGGCATGGCACATTATTAACATGAAAAGTTACTTTGTAGCAACTTTAAATACAGAGGCCTAAGCTTTTTATGGCTCGTTTTACTAATGGTAGTTGAGCATGGTAGTTATCATTAAACATCACCCGATTTCATCCTCGTTAGACTGGTCGTAAGCATTCTATGACTTTCGGATGGTATTTGAGAGCTTCAACCTAAAAATTTCAAATTTGTAACAACTTTGACCAAGAGGATGTGACAGAATGCGTAAGATCGTGTGGCTAAATTGACAGAATTTTACACAAAATTCTCCTCCATCATTTCTGCAATCAGCTCAATTGGTCTGAGCAATAAAGGCTTAGTCTAAGATATATAGATAAGTAGTTCACAGAGATATTTCTTACCTTCCGAGCGAAAAAGTGTTTTTCGTACTTGATTTTGTTCCTGAGATTATCAATAGTGAAAACTTTATGGTGTCGTGCTTTCCTTTAATTTATAGAACTGTTTGAGCTTCTGTAACTATGGTTACAAAACAAAACCGCTGTTTTATAGGCCACAGTTATTCTTCCTGTCCAGCTGTTCTAGTTGTTGTCAGACATCAGATCATAGCTGCTGTGTTTAAATCTAAATGACTGGTCTCATCCTAGTACCACTGGATATGACAGTCAATGAAATCCTTCGATGAAAATCCAGTAGAATGTTTTGAAAAACTTTTATGGCAAGTCTAACTCTTAAATAAAGCTGCAAATTATTTGGTCAAAATACTTTCAGCGGGACATGTAAGAAGTTTTAGAATGACACTATGTCGTTCTATTTTCCCTGGAGATAATTAAAGTGTTTTGGTCAAAACACTTTCAGCGGGACATGTAAGAAGTTTTAGAATGACACTATGTCGTTCTATTTTCCCTGGAGATAATTAAAGTGTTATGATCGGTTTTGTGTCTTTCAAATTGAAATTTTATGGAAATATGAACTTTTAGAACTACACAGTGTGTCGCATTTTCCTCCGGAGTTAACCGTGGGGAAAATTTTGTCAAAATTACTCTCATTTTCTTTGACAACCACGAAGAAGAAATAATATCATGAATATTAGTGATATTAATTAAAACCCTGAAAAAGCGTCAAATTATAGTTTCAGCTGCTCGCGTGGTAGATAAAAATAATGTTTCGTGTGACGGCTTTAATATCTAAAACCCTTAAATGCGAGAGAATATCTGAAGTGAAATTTAGTATACATTTTACGTGACATTGCATCCTCCAATCCGCTCGATCGTTGTAGTGGTTTTGTTTTGGTAATAAAGGTCGTTTTGTTTTGGCCGTTTCGCTTGTTTTAGTTTTGGTCCTTTCGTTTTACTGTTTCGGGTCCTAGTACATGCTGAAATCATTAACGATATCATCACAAACTTAACATTTTGACTCAATATCGTTCCGCTGACAAAAGCGATTTTACTAGAAAGTGCTCAGAAACTTGGAGAAAATGGTCATAAAATGCAAGGGAAGCCATTGGCCTGACTAAGAACATAATATACAGTGTTACAGAGAATGTAATATACTGTTACAAATAAGTGTAGCACGAAAACACAAGAGCCTGCTCCCAGGCTAAACAGACGGCGGTAAGAGGTCTTATATGAGGAGAGACACCGCCGGTAACCGCTTTCAAAGAAACCTCTGTCCATGGTTAGCTGTAATCATCCTCTCTTCACATAAACATGCTAACATTGTGCTCATTTTATCTCTTACACTCATTTGTCCCTACTCTGACTCCGACTCTAACTTTCTTGATGGTGATGTTTAGGACGACATCGAAACGTCTAACCGCGCTAATTTTTGATATTTTTGTTGAAGTATTTTCAAAGCCTATTCAGTTAATTTATCTGTTTATCTTTTTCTTTATTTCTTTATCTATTTATTTATCTATTTGTTCTTTGAGTTATCTCGCGTAGAGATTCGGTTTTAAATCAAAAATCGTTCCTAAACTAATCCGTGCTGATTATTAACCCTTTGACCCTTAAGAATGACGACCATTTAGTTTCTCCTCACATTATTGACCCTGAATCAAACATTAAGGTCATGAGAAGAAAGGAAATGATCACCAACTGAAGAAGCTTTTGATTGTTAAACAAATTCTCCCTGTCATCATCTTAGGAAATGTATAGAAAGCAGTATGGAGAATATGCATCCTGATGTTAGCGTGTAAAGGGTGAAACGAAGGTGAATCGTTTGAGCCTGTCATTAACAAATTTCTTGTTGTCACTAGAGCCATGAGTTTCAGAGCGTGGATGGTGGAAAGCTACTTGCAGATTCTTCAGTACCGGTGGCGTGCACCCAAAGATATGGACAAACTCACGTCTAAATTAAAAACCTTACACGAGTTGGACGCCATCGCCGCAGAACGAGCCAAAAGAACGGTCTCGGTTTCTTGATTTCGTTCCCCATCGCATTTAAATTGGGAATAACCGAAAACTTTAATGTATCAAAGATTTTAATCTTTTGTAAGAAAATAGAGCTGTAAGGAGTCCTCTTTTTGCCTGCAAACCAATGATCACAAGTGATCCAATACGCCACTTTTGATATATCAAGATTCTTACATGGCTCCGAGGCTAGGGGGGAATAAAACAAAAGAAATTTCACCTACTCATCCTTACATTTGGTATTTCTACAAACTCAGTTTGTATCATAATCACCTGATGAGCTATATCTACAAAATGGACCTTGGGCGTGCAATATAATCTTATGATTTAAAGTGCAATATGTTTATCAATAACAGTGCAAGGTGTTTACTTTAACAACAGCTAAGAAAATACAAATAAAAGCAATATTTGAAGCATTTTAGAATCACCAACATTACGTTACATTGTACACTAAAACTTGAAATATTTGTTTTTCTGATAACGTTCTTTAAAGTCAAAACATTGGGTAATTTTTTGGAGTTTCGTTATAAAAATCAAAGGGAACTAGAACTGAATTAGCGACTGTGGTTACTCTTCTGATATTGACTTTGAAAAAATGAAGGTTGTGTGATCGCTTTGTGCTCCGTCAAGTGAAAATACGAGTAAAAAATTTAAAGAATCAAAACTTGTATAATCCAGTCAGAAGGAGCATAGGAGTCGTGATGGCCATGATGACACAAACCATTGAGATTCGAGAATAAGTTTTGTGAATACCTAGGACCCACCTAAAATTTTATGGAGACAGGGTCTATTCAGCCGCTGCCCCCAGGCTGTAAAATGTCTCACCCATAGACCTTGAATTGAGTCCATTGGTTTCAGTTTTTCGAGAAAAGATTAAAGCGCATTTTTTCAGAGCTTCTTGTGATTAACTGTCAATTTCCAACTATGATAAGAAGCTTTTTGTATGTACCGCTATATAGATTAAGTCATTATGACTATTATGATGATTATTATTATTGGTTAACTGGCCGATTCCACAGTATCAACTGTTCCTATTTTGAAAAACATGCACAAAGAAGCAAGAAAAACCCTGAACAACGTTCCGCTAAGCTCCAACAATTTAAGAGTCATTGTCTAATGCTGAATATACTTGATCGAGACACTCGGTTTTTTTGTTAAGTTGTTGTGCCACAAACATGACAGTTCAGAAATCCTCTGGTCTTATTTTCATCTCGGTTCTCTTGAGGGAGTAATAATGACCCTTCCAGCCTTTCCAGTTCACTCCATCAGCATAAGAGGAGTGACTGCCACGAAGATACAAGCCATTGAGATTTGAGTGGTGACACTTATTGTACCACCAGGCTCCTTTGTACTCAATGGCGCAGTTGGATCTAAAATTGTCATTATCTTGATCTCTAGTGGTGAATGGCATATCGCGATGCTCGGTAAGCTAAGAGAGTCACCAGAATTTCCTGACAAAATGAGCCGCACTATGAGTATTACGTTTGACCAGCAATGAACCGTTCGTAATTCAAAAGAAATCTTAAAATGTAAGATAAGTATAATTTAACAATAATGATATGGATTAAAAACATTCTTAGTAATATCTATGATTCTTGTCGAAGATTGTCGGGATTAAAATACTCAATATAATAATTACAATAAATATGTTCGCCGAGACACTC